TTAAAATATGTCCCTGTTGACCACTGCGCTGTTCTGTTGTTTTTCTATCTGGATCATGTATTAATCAGAAACTCTTAATTGCTTTTAAAGAGGGTTCATTAACGACGCTCGGAAGATTTCCAGAAGCAAAGGTTCAAATGTTTATGTCGGCTCCGGTGGGGGTGCGGGGGGGCTACCCTATTGAGCTACCCTGGTCAGATCCACATTAGCTGCTTCCAATTCAAGAGGTTCAGTGTGTGGGCCCTTACATTATAAATATACAGATGTTGTGCTACAGCTGTCTCCAACAACTCCAGCTGTTTTGATACTCGTACAATAGACAAACGACTTTGTGAAGCACTTCGAGGTCCTCTTGACCCGAGAGCCCGCAATCTCAGACGCGAGGATTTTTATTTCATTGTGCATGTCTGACGTGCTTTGGACCAGAACAACATTTATGCAGCGTCTCTCACGTAAAAGAACAGCTCGAACCACTTGACATAGTGCGGCGGTGCAGATTGAACAGATAAACGAGAGACTTAAAGATAAATACAGGAAACTGCTGATAACTCTTCACTCCAAAGGAAAGGGGCTCAGTGGTGAGTTATCTGGAGTGACGAGTTAGGCGTATGTCTAATACTTTTTAGAGGTATTTGCACACAGCAATGCAATGGTCCACCAACACAGAGCAACCCCGCTGCTATCAAAACTGCGCAGAGGCTTGTGCCTGGCCAGAGTTACCTGTGCTTACCTACCCCCTCCCTTGCCTCCTTCAAGACCCATCTCAAGACCTTCCTCTTCGACTGTGCCTTCGGTCACCCTCCTTACCTCTCCCCTCCTCACCCACCACCCCTCCTGATCCCAACCACCAGCTCGGGTTCTGATCCCTGACTGTCCAGCACCTTGCAATGTCCTCCTGATGTGAAAGGCGCTGTACAAATGTAATTTGTTGTTGTTGTTAACTGGAGCATCAGGGCAGATCAGATCGCTTCAATTAGTCACTGCAGATCAGCGCCAAATGCAGACGGAATGGATGGAAAGAGGTCAATAATTCTTGGGAGGCCCAAAGCTTTCCCTCGGTGTTGCTTCTGGAGGTTCTCTATGAACTTCTGCAAAAGCTATGAAAACGTCGTGTAACGGCTGCAGTTTGACATGAAGAAATAAATCACCAGTAACCACGCAGAGAAAGGGTTGGGCCAGCCGACATTCCAGAACCTCTGTAACCCAACCGTAGAAAACTGATCCCATATTCTCCATCTGAAAGATAATGCAAACAATGTTTACAACGCTGAAATAACACAGACATGGAGAAAGAAAGAAATCAACTTCGAAAAAAAGTAGGAATTCCAGGGCAACGTAAGGAATGGCTGGAAACACAAAACACCAGATTGTATTTGCCATTGAGATGTCGGAATGGAATTTTTAGCACTGGGTGTTCTTTTCATTTAAAAACGCACAACGTTGGGGTATTTTTGAAAACGAATATCGGCTTTTTTTCTGGAGCACGACACAAGCGAAATGTTTGAAAAGCTCCAACAATATGCAATTGTGGTTTCGGGATTGTAATTCTAATTGTTTTATTAATTAGATAGTTTCACCCTTTAGAAAAGTGACGGGTCTCCATTGTACACTGTAAGAGCACTGCAATTACAGGATTTTGGCTTCTGTGACAGCTGGCTACGACTGGCACTTTAACTGTCGCTGATACTTCTATTATTAGAATATATGTACAGATTAATGTTTGCCACACGAGGGCCACTGCTCTTGCAAATTGCACCATTAAAGGTTTCATTTGCATATAAAATTAGTCTAATTGTAATTAAATCATTTTTTCAGCAACAAGAAGTTCCTAACAAAAACCTCCTTGAAGAAGATAAATCTTAAAGTCTTTGTAATTTCAATCATCTCACATTGTAGTGCGGGATGGAAGGGAAGGGGGAGCTAATGGGCATTTCTGTTGAGTAATTGCACTGGAATCCAGCGCCTTGGGATGTCCTTCCGGTGTGAAAGGCGCTATAACAAATGTAATTCTGGATTGAATTGTAATCCAAACACACAAATAAAAAGTAACTCTCAAACAGGTCCTGAGTACAGCCTGTAATCTTGTGTTTCTTGTGCTTTTAAATCAAAAACAGTTAGATAATGATAATGATAATGATAATAATAATCCTTGATAGAATGTCTTTCACTCCAGGAGTCTGTCTCAAAGTGCTTCACAGGAGCCACGGTAAAGTTTAGTGAGTGTGTGGTTTGTAGGAAGACACAGGAGCCAATTTTGCACACAGCAGTGTCCCACAAACAGCCATGAAGAGAATGATCAGTTTTTATCTGGGACATTGTTAGCCTTAATCCCGGGAGAAAGTCCTGTCTCTTTTCATATAGTACTACGCGATCTTTAACACAGGATAGAGTCTAAGAGCACTGCACAGTGGTAGAACCTTGTACAACCTTCTGACTCAGAGTTCAACTGACTAACCCAGCCTGAAACCGCAACCTTATCCAAAGTGCTGACATTTCCCAGCACATTTAATGGCTCGAATAGTTTATTCAATCGTCGTCTGCGTGTGACACAGCCAGAGTCATCAATTGGAATTCAACATATGTTACACGTCTGGATTAAGTGTTCTATATTCAGACCACAAAGCAATGCACATGTGATTTGGCGCTGCTGTTTTAGGACTGCGAGATTGGATGAGTTGTGGCCCATCAGCAATGCTAGGAATCTGCAGCATTGCCCTTGACAATGCAATCTCCTCGTCCAAGTCAGCCACCCATCCCTCTTCCAGGGTCATTCTCCACATTGCTACGATTCCAATGTCATTTTTGAAGACCTCGGCAAGCTGCTCTGAAAATCACAGCACCATAATAACCAGAGACAGTATTCTGTGTGCTTATGTTATGCCCACCTAATCTGTAGTGTTGGTAATAGTGATGAGTCGCTTCATCACGGTTGATATTTCTTTAAGAGCGCTGAGTGAATATCTTAGGTTATACAGCGATCAAAAACAGATGGTGAACTATTGGTATGTCCAAGGCTTGGGATATGTGGGATGCACAAATGTTCGGGAAGGGTTAGTGTTAGTAAGAGGCTGATTCCCTTGTGAGTCCTGCCCACATGGGAATGTTGAGAGAGACACTACATTTCACAGCTGAACAGACAGGTGTTTGTCTACGAGTGAACGTGGTCGCTTGCCAAGCTGTGCTACACCAAGCCGGGCATTTGCTTGCTCTCAGGCTCAGCAACAGACCCAAAACAACTGTGTTTCGCTTCAATTACCTCCCTATCGCAGTTTATTATTTTCAGAACCTCTAGATCTTACTTAGTGAAGAGCACTTTCCTCGTCTCGTCTGAAACTCGTGGGCGTATATATCTCTCTCTCTCTCCCGTTCAGTCATTCAGTGCCATGCTCAAGAGGAAATATCTGTTTTTCCTTTGGAATGTGTGTTGATTAAAGGCATAATTGGTTTCATGGCTCAATTAGAAACTGCTTATTATGCTGGATAAGCATCAACATGTGTTAATGGTTTTTCTTTTCCTCCAGTAAAAATATTTGCCTTCCACTGGCTGATTTTCTTTAGTTGGCGGAGATTCATATTCCGGCTGATGATTCGCTGTAACAACAACTCACTGCCAGGCAGGGAGCAGAATTCCCACTCCGACATGAATGGACTGTTGGATTCCATTGATAAACAGACCTGCGGAAAGGTTATGCATTTAAAACCAATGTAACTACCCGTATAAGGTTTGTGATCTTCCAGAGGTGGTTCACAAGCAAGGCCAGGGTCTGATCAAGAATAACCACATCCATCCTAACATTATCCGAGCTGGTGGTTGGGATCAGGAGGGGTGGAGGGTGGGGAGGGGAGGGGTAGGAGGGTGACCGAAGGCGACTGAAGTTAATCCTCAAACCTCTTCCTACTAACAACAAAGCCCAGTCCCGCTGCTCCCCTCCGCACTGATTCCAGCGTCGAGCTGTTGGCTTTTGTCACAGCGAGTTGAATTGTAAGCAGAGCTTGAGGTGTGGGTTGACCAGAGTGACGTACAGCTTCGGGCTAACATGGGGAATTTGAATGCAAATTACTTGACACTTAATACAGAAAATAGATTAATTTCAGCAAGGTGGATTATTACTGACCCGCGTAGCAAAGCGGGCAAGCTTCAGACTGCCAGCCATGTGTACATTACCCAAACCATCGCCTGCACACACTGCAGACTCCGTCCACTTCAATCTGTGACTAATGGATTTCAATCAGAGTTTTTAATTTGCTGTTGGAGTAACCTCAGTTTCAATTCAAATTTAATTTACGTGAGGGCCTTAGCACTTTGCCAAGTCGTATCCATTGTGGATGAGACATTGCAGCTGTCCTCAGTTTCAAATAACGTCTACAGACATCCAGACTCCTCGCTGAGTAAAAGGCGATTCCATTCTCTTAATTTATGTTCTTTTCTTGTAAATATTTGCTCTCGTCAAGATGAGGGGTGGCTAGGGCTGGTGAATGGAACGACTACTCTCTGTTTGACCCCCCACCCTGGCCCCAGCATTCAGCACTCGGTCACATAAAACAGCGAAAGAAGAAACTTTTATTTTTCTAACGCCTTATCGCAACAAAGGCATCTCAAAGTGCTTTACACTGCACGCTGTCAAGTTTGTGAAGTCAAACTTGGCAGCGGGAGCATCAGCCTGGACCACAAACTTAGTCTCCGACATGGGGTTTGAATCCGTATCCTTCTGATCCAGAGGATAAATAGTTTCCCACCGAACCAGCCCTGTGCGGGGAAGAAGCATGCTCCGCTTAAACAATCTCTATTAGCCCTGGGATCAGTGGGGAATCTTTCACTAGATTGGTTATTTTACTTCAAATTTGCCCACTTACGGCAAATTTAAATCCAATTTAGGGCAGATTTGAGGCTTTGACTCTTGCCAATGAAGAGCTACGTGGCTGATGGCAGTGTCCTGTGTGGTGTCGCCCCACACTCCAGGGTAGAAAAAAGAGAAACTCCCTTTTTTCTTTTTTTGCAGTGGTGGCCGTCCTTCGGACAAGAGGTTACAACGAGGAGAAATCGACCCGTTCAAGGTGGACGTTAAAGATTCCATGGCGCGATTTGAAAAGAGAGGGGATTTTCTCTCAGTGTCCCGGCCAACCATCCCCCAGGTAACATTGATCATTTACTTTGTGGCTGTTTATTGAGACATTGCTGTGTGTAAATTGGCTGCTGTGTTTGCTAACAACAAGTGCAATCACTGCACTTTACAGTAAATCCTGGGAGAATATCCTTTGACATGTAAGGCACTGTATCAAACGCAAGGCTTGGTATTATTATAAAACTGAGATTGCCCACACTCATGTCAGATAGCGCTCCTGTGTTCCTCCCAGTGGGGAAACAGATTCCATTAGTCTGACCTGGATCTCAGCCCAGTCTCCACAAATGACAGTCGGAGAAAAGTGTATAAAATTGCCAAGTGGAGACTCGCTATCAGTGACCTCCACGAATATTAAAGCTGTTGTTTCAAAAACTATTTTTATATATAAAGGCAGAACAAATCGTTTTTCTTCCTCGGTGTCTCTCCTGGTGCTCACTGTGCCTTGTGTTGTACTTTGCTTCTATGTTATCCGATGCTTAAATGCTTCGAAGCGCTAAATAAATCCAAGTTGTTGTCGCAGTTGTTGTTGTAGTTGTCATACCTGTTTTGGGAGCACCCGATGTTGATTTGAGGCTGTGCCTAAAGGCACAAAAGCTGAGTCAACCGCAGGTCTTCTCTGCTCTGCAAAAGGTCCCGTCCGTCGATTCAGGTGAACACTATCACCTTATCTCAAAGCGCTTCAGGAGATTTGCTGGAAAGTGCAGTGACCGTGCATTTTGGAGGCAAACACGGCAGCCAATTTGCACGTAAGAACGTCCCACAAACAGCCACTAATTAAGTGATCGATATTTAATCTGGGAGATCCGTGGGTAAGGAAATCGGGAGAAGTTCCTTTCTCTTCTTGAGTAATCTCCTGGAATTCACAAGATGGTGGCGGCAGGAAAGGCTGAAGGCCCGGACACCAAAGGTAGAGGTGGCTAGATGGAGGAACGTGGAGTAAGCTGGTGCCCCCATGTGGAGGGAGCAGGCAGGTTGGTAAGTGTTAGCAGGTCACCAAGGTAGGTAGGAGATTCCTTGTGCGTGAGCTAGTCTTCTGAAGGGTTAAGTTGGATAAGCCCTTCAGCCCATCTGATCTCAACCCTCCAGAACACCCACCCTTCCCATCTTCCCATTACAGATCACTGAACCAATTTTTATTTGGTGGATTGTTGGCCAAGACACTGAGAGAAACTCCCCTTTTTCTTAGAATGTGCCAAGGGACCTTTCACCTGATCAGGCAGACAGGACCTCAGTTTAACATCTCATCTGAAGGACGGCACCTCCAAAAACTGCAACCCCAGCACGGCATTTGTGCATCCAGCCAGCCCAAGACCGTGAGAGTTCAGAGGCCTGTCGTGGGGCTTGAATTCACGATCTTCTGACCTTTTGACATTAAAGATGTTAAGGTGCCATTTCAAAATTGTCCTTCGTTCCTGCCCAATGTTCCTTCCTCATCCCAGTCAAACCAGAACCTTTTTTGTATACGTTGCTGATGCACATTTGCCATAAATGTCATTACACATCAGAATAGTTTATTGGGTGAAGTGCTTAGGACGTTTCGAGGTGATAAGACACTCGATTGAAAGCAAGTATTATTTCTTATAACGGGTCACCACTAGGCAACCTAAGGTGATGTGGTCTGAATTTTTCTGCTCCTATCCGCTCAACTAACCTGTAGCTTGGTGGTTAGAACACATGACTCGCAAGGGCGAAACGTTGGGCAAGTTTCCTTACTTCACACGCCTCTGTTCACCTAGCAGTAAGTGGAAATGTGGTTGTTAGTCGATTGGTGGATCACTTTTCCGGAGAGAATAATCCCTCATAAAAAATGTGGCCACTCAATCCACGCCTGTTTGTGGGACGCTGCTGTGTGCAATTAGCTGCCGCATTTCACCCCAAAACATACAGTCAATTCAATGTAAGACGTCTCGAAGGCGTGATAAGTCACAATATCAAATGTAAGGATTATTATTGCTAACTTGCTGGTTCCACTGTAGTTGTTGGGATGAGGAGCTCAGTGAGAAGGGACTTACTGGCACAAACCCATATCTGAACCATTCCGTGGCACAGTGCCTCAGTGCGTCAAAATGCAATGGACCCAGTACATCACTTCCCAACTTGTCGTCGTTAAACTTTTAAACTCCTAATTAAAGACCGGGTGACAGCCATCATTCTGCAGTTGTGGGGGGGTCTGAAAAGATCCTGATTGCGAACATATTCTGCGGTTGACACATCAAGTGCAGCAGTGCTTTTTGTCAGTGTGTGTGTGTGTGTGTGACACGTGTGTAGAACTTGAGCAGGCTGCATGTACTATTCCCCGAACTCACACTGCATCCGTTGAGGATGTATGGAGGCTTGTGCAACACAATGGACCCTTTCTCTTACTCCAAAGGCAGGCTAACACCGGAGTCCTGGTGTTTGAGGTGTTAGCGACCCGGCTGCTAAGAACACACAAGAACAAGAGTTCCGAATTGACCTTGGCTTTCAAGCCAGGGTTTGTCAATGGAGAGACATTCTGTCGCACAACCAGCCAAGAAAGATGAAAGGGGCTTGACAGGCATCATAAATGACATAATGAAAGCAAACCGAGTCGTTGGCTGTATGCTCAGAGGAAAAGATTACCAAAATAGGGAGGTAATGTTGCATTCTTCTAAAACCTTGGTTAGACCACACTTGGTGTTCTTTGTACAGTCGTGGTTTTGGCATATTACGGGAAGGTTATTGTAGCATTGGACGGATTACAGTGTAGATGTACAAGGATGTTATCAGGGTATGAATCTAATGAGAACGATTATAATAATAATCCTTGCATTTGATGTAGCGGCTTATCATGTCTTTGAAACGTCTTAAAGAACTTCAGAGAATGTACTGTAAAATGAATTGACTGTATTTGTTGTTGGCGAAAGCCGGCAGCCAGTTGCGCAAAACAGTGTCCCACAAACAGTCGTGGATTGAGTGACCAATGATAATTATTTGGTTTTGATTGCACAAGGTTGTAGCTTTTCGATCTAAAGTTGAGAGCATTGACAGGGCTGCTATATGAATGCAAGTTGTTGTTGTTGGTGGTGGTGGTGTTCTGAATGACCTGTTACCGTGCTGTATCACTCTATGTAGTTCTATGTAATCAACAAATTCAGATAAGCCAGGTCATAAATTCACCTCTCTCAATGGTGCAGTGTTTATTCCTAACAATCAGTGACAGCCTCATACCTGCCTGCGATGAAGTCTGAGTGTTTCACTCGCATACACATTGGAATTTCTTCTTATAAATCCCCCCAGGTCCTGATCCTGCCTTTGTAATGTGGTTGGCTCCTTGATCTGTCAGTATCAATGTATAGTGCAACTTGGATATCAAATAGTGGCTTTTTATCGATATGAATTAGGGTGTATTGCTGACTGTCTATGCTGTACAACACCACAAATTACATTTATATAGTGCCTTTCACGTCAGGAGGATGTCCCAAGGCATTGGGCAGTCAAGGGTTTGTGCCCGAGCTGGGGGTTGGGATCCAGTGGAGTGGGGAGTGATGGTGGGAGGATGACCACCATGGTCAAAGAGGACGGTCTTGAGGTGGGCCTTGAAAGAGGGCAAGCGAAGGGGCAAGGGGATTCAAGGGTGGAGTTCAAGACGGTGAGGGCAGAAAGGCTGAAGGCCCGGGCACCAAAGGTGGAGGTGGCTAGAGCGGGGGACGTGAAATAGGCCAGTGCCCACCAAGTGGAGGGAGCAGGCAGGTTGGTAAGGTGTTAGCGGGTCACCGAGGTAGGGAGGAGATTCCGTGTGTGTGGGTCTAGTCTTCTGAAGAGATAGTGTTATGTGGATAATTCAGCAAAGTCTCTCCGCAGTGGGGAATGTGGATCAGGTTGTAAGTGTGTTGCAGATGTAACTGACGATGTGCATTTCAGAAAGGCATTGCTTACCCTTTCTTCCCATTATTATATCATTAAAAAAAAAGTAACGAAACCAACATTCACTGTCAGGCAGCAGAATAACCTTACAAATCACAACAGGCTGCAACACAAAGCTCCCGAATCTGAGAGACGTCACATCTTATTTAAGAAATCCTTCAAAATTGACTGAAATAATTCCATTGTGGAGCAGAGGTGAGAAACATAAAAGATGAATGAAATGGCCGAGACAAGCACATAATGCTTCCAGTTCACACAGCGCTGGCGGTCTCATTGTTTGTGGTACATTGCTGTCCACAAATTGGCTGCTGTGTTTGCCGACAAATTAGCAAACACATCACTTAACTATACAATCCTATGCAGCAATATGTGACACCCTTCCAACGTGAAAAGGTACTACATTAAGTGCAAAGATTATTCTAACAAGTTGGCCATTTTTGCATGTCTGCCCTGGTTCAGTGGTCATACTCTCGCCTCTCTGAGTCGGATGGTTGTGAGTTCAAGCCCCACATCAGGACTTGAAACCCAAATAGTCTATGCCGACACTCCGATGCAGTGCTGGGTTGTTCTGCTTTGTCGGAGGTGCCATCCTTCGGGTGAGATTATTATCTGCCAGTTCAGGGGTATGTTAAAGATCCAAATAGCTCTATTCAAAAAGAGTTGCTCCCTGGGTCCTGGCCAACAATCCCCTAAATAAAATCGGTCACTCACTCCACGGCTGTTTCTGGGACATTGCTGTGTTTCACCATAAAATGCACAGTCACGGAGAATATGGGGGTGGGGGAAGGGGGCACAGAAATATTCCAAATTGGGAACAAATTAAGATATATTCCTCAAACACAATTTTTTTTTTTTACGCGGTGCAATCATAAGCAGTGTCCTGTCAACCAGTTTGTTGGTCTGTAATAAGATGGTGACACAATGATTCATTAAATGAGACAACTGAGCAAGGCAACGGGGTATTTTACAATGCGGTCAGGATTCGTGACAAGATTCTGAAAATACTCTAAACGGTGCAGAAATTCAGTTGTGAATTAATTCCCAACATCCT